CACACACACACACACACCAGGGACAGATGTACAGGTTGAGGTGATGTCATCACTTCATCACTGAGCCACAGCTCTGTGGGATCGGTCCAGAACCCGGCTGGTCCGGTTCTGTTACTGCCTTGCTCAGCAGCACAGAGGTGGGCTGACCCCGCCCCTCGGTCCATTCAGACGACACACCGAGGTGACCAGAACACGCCTCAGGTTCTGAGCCTCATGACGCCACGTGGGTGTGGTTTCAATCGGGGTGCTTTTTTCAATACACCACCTACCACCCCACCTGCACGCTGAGCTACACGTGCACGGAATATTCCATCTTTGGAGCACCCACTTCCTGCAGAGCTGTGCCCGTAAAGAAAGGAGTGGCTCCAGCTGTTTCCTTCAGGGCCCTCTCCGTTCCAAGTCATGTGACCTCAAGTCATGTGACCTCAAGTCATGTGACCTCAAGTCATGTGACCTCACAGCTGCAGTTAGTATGAGGAGCGATCCTTCAGGAGATGTGTACTAGAAAAATGGAGCATCTGTTCACAAATTACGTTACATGGTAACTCAAAGTGCCAATAAAAGTAACAGCACACATCACAAACAAACGTCTGAAACTTGCACTAATAATAAAATAAATACAAATAAACGTCAGAGACTTTTCAGTCTGGTTTTAAGCGACTCCACAGCACTGAAACAGCGTTAATGAGGGTTTGTAACGACATTATGATCTCAAATGATTCTGGTCAGTTTGTGGTACTTGTGCTCCTGGACCTTACTGCTGCTTCTGATCCTGTTGACCACAGTATCCTTATATCACGGCTGGAACAGTGGGTTGGGATCACAGGTGCTGCATTAGAATGGTTCCACTCATACCTGAGTGGCAGGAGATTCTGTGTCAAGGTTGGTAATAATGCATCCGCCTCATTACCTCTTTCTTGCGGGGTCCCACAGGGTTCAATTCTTGGACCCCTTCTGTTCTCACTTTATTTGCTCCCACTGTGGTCCATCCTGAGGAAACATGGTCTTTCATTCCATTACTATGCTGATGACTGCCAGATCTACCTGCCTGTGAAACCAGCAAGTGTTTGCTCCATTCACCCTCTGTTAAAATGTCTGGATGACATTAAGGCCTGGATGGCTTCAAATGTCTTAAGTTTTAACAATGACAAGACTGAAGTCATTGTTTTTAGCCCTAGCTCAACTGCCGCCACTGATCCTGTCAACCTGGACTCTCTTCAGCCATATCTTAAGCAGTCTGGTGAAAACCTCAGGATGGTTTTAGACTCTGACTTCAAGTTTGACAAACAAATCAACTCTGTTCTGCAGAAAAGCTTCTTCCAACTCAGACAGGTAGCTAAGCTCAAGCCAGTGTTGTCCAGACCCGACCTTGAGAAACTAGTCCACGCCTTTGTCACGACCCGATTGGACTATTGCAACGCACTGCATGCTGGGATCAGCCAGGCCTCCATCTCACGTCTTCAGCTCGTCCAGAATGCTGCTGCTCAGCTTTTAACTGGAACTCATAGGTCTGAACATATTACTCCAGTTCTGTCCTCCCTTCACTGGCTCCCTGTTCGTACGAGGACAGTCTTTAAAATTCTTCTGTTGACCTTCAAATGAGTAAATGGCCTCGCACCCCTTCACCTCTCTGAGCTTCTGGAACCTTACGTTCCCTCTCGGGCCCTGAGATCATCTGATCAGCTGCTTTTGGCTGTTCCAAAAACAAGAAGCTCAGAGGAGATCGGGCTTTTTCAGTCATGGGCCCCAAACTCTGGAACAACCTGCCCCCCAACATCGGGCAGACCACCTCCCTTCAACCTGCCCCCCAACATCTGGCAGACCACCTCCCTTCAACTTGCCCCCCAACATCTGGCAGACCACCTCCCTTCAACTTGCCCCCCAACATCTGGCAGACCACCTCTCTTCAACCTGCCCCCCAACATGAGGCAGGCCACCTCCCTTCAACCTGCCCCC